TGCACTTAACGTCAGGTTTAATAAGTCATCGCGATGTTTATTTTTGGTTGTACATATACACACACAGAGACACGCTTTCGCCAAGAGGATATCTCGGTTATATGGAGCGCACCCTCCAGCTACGACACCGACGATTCGACGTGGAGAATTCGCGGCAATTTTCACGAAAGACCGCAAAGTATCACCGTCTGCTCTGATATTCGACGACACTTGTCGAAAACAAATGCTGGCTTAAGATATTAAAAAGAAAATAATTCAAACAGTATCTCTTTAACTTATATTAATAATTATCACTTGAAACTTGTCTCATGTGAGATACTCAAATTTTTATTCAGAATTGGATCAAAATTTCTTAGTTGAATTATATGATATATTAGATTTGTAATCGCGATTCAACTGAAAAAAATATCATCTAAGGTCAAAATATCAAGACAAGTAGTCTGGACATTAATAATAATGCATATAAATAATACTAGTGTTTATAATTCTGGACATTCTTTACACATTATTTTAATCTTTAAATACGAATATTTTTAAACTTCCAACGTAGAATGCACGTATATTTCTTTAAAGTGTATCACTAGCAATGTTTTTGATTGAATCAGTAAAAAAAGTATCTCACCAATAATCAGTGAGTACTCACTGATTTTTAGTATGGAAAGATCCTCACTTTTTACTGTTCCACCTTATATATCACTGATTTTGATCAGTGAAAGTGAGATTTCAATGCAAAATCCGTAGTGCACAAATTCGTTGTACGTTGCGCCAGATCCAACTCTCTGCGTGGCAATGGGATTAATGGCTTTCATGCGATTTACATGCAATGACATTGTCTATGTTTGCAAACCGCATCAATAATAGAAACACTCGCTACTATTAACTGATTCCTTCAACGAGATTTTACTGATTGCAATGCTGCAATTGAACTATCAGTTAAAGCTGAACCATAAGTATTGCATTTCAGTGAATAATACACTGAGCTTTAGAGAGTATATATATTCTATAATAAAAGTTCAAATCGTATTCGTATTTAAAGACTAGAACAATATAAGAGGAATTTCAAGTAACGATTATTGATACGAAATATATTAACCTTAGATTCCGCTGTCGTCTACCTGTTAGTTATTATCATAATTATAATCATTATCGTCTCTTAAATTCTGAATTTAAGAAATTCGCAACAAACTGTTGACCACAGCGCGGCAGATGCATCGCGGTATTAAACGGGGATGTAAGCGAATTGCTATGCGGCGACGGTTTCTTCGCGATTGACCTGCTCGTAACGAAGCGAACTACCATTGCACGCTCACGCGCGCGCGTGGAGTTGGGTTAATCCGAAAAATTTTCCCACAAATAACACATTGGCCGCTTTCGTCGACGACCTCGTTGAATCCCGTGCCAAAAGCGATCGTCCGCCGAATTATCGGCTTCGGCATTTGCGGTCTGATTGCGTGGCAACCCCTAAAGTGCCGCTAGGACGATTTGGAAGAGCAAAAGATAGAGAGAAAGAGAGAGAGAGAGAGGAGAGAGAGAGAGAGAGAGAGAGAGAGAGAGCTGCGGAAGAGAGGGATTGAGAGAGAACATGTGGGAGTGAGAGAAACCGGTCGGCGGATACGGTTGATAGACGAGGAACGAAGGTCCCGAAGAGCCGGTAGCAACTGATAAATATGGCCGTCGAACGCGAACTCCTATCCTTCTGTACGTGACGCTCTCGTTGTTCGCATCCTCCACGAATATCTCTTCGGTAATCAAGCTCCGTCAAGCTTCCAGCCGCAATTCGGACTAATTAATGGAGACTGATTGCACGGCTTTATCGAGATTGACCTCGATTCCGGCTCCGTGCTGTCGCCGTACTCATTTTCTCGCCCGACAAACGCTCCCTACTGATCGGATTAAAATACATTTTTTTGCGAGAGGACGCTCCCTCTGAACGACGATCGCTCGCGATGATGATTCTTGTCGTCTCTTTCGCGATCGATTGTGGCGTGTCACACAATGACGATGCGAAAATGTGCCGGCGCGTGTTAATCGCGTACACCGCGCGGAAACCTGACGCAGAATTTAATAACGAGTCCGTGATGGAGAAATCAAATTGGATAGGCTAAATTCTCCGCGTAAATGGCCGAAATTGTTGGCGAGTTGCGCGACGTCGCTGACAAATCGATGGAACTTTCCTAGCGGCGTACATCATCAAACCACGGACTTTCTCCCCGGAAATATCCAGATACCTTCCAACAACGCGCAGTTGCATAGTTGTCCGAGCAAAGTTTACGGCGGATCTCAGTCGATGTTGGGTCCAGAATTAACATCGCTATAAAGTTCCCGCGGGGGAATCCGATTACGACCGACTACGGCGAAGTCCTCGCAAATGGATCCGCCGCGGAAGTTTCCAAAAACGTTAATCGACCAGTCGCGTATGGGCGAGATTTCGGCCGCGTTCTGGCCCACTTACTCTCTAAATTTCTTCGAGTGAAATTTCACTCGAAAAGAGCGACAGCCGAGTCACTTGAATTCGAGTGATTTTTGCGCTCTTACAGAGTGAATATCTTCACTCGAAATTGAAGAATGAATGCGACGCATTCTATTGCCAGAGCAACATATTCACTCCAATCGATTGCAACATCCGTTCACATAATATCAAAATTTATTTTAATTTTGAATAAAACATTTATTCTTGTGATTTCGAATTTCAGTATCTTTACTATCGTCTCGAGAATATACTGCCACTGAAAATATGCCACTTTTTACTCCAAGAAATTTCGAGAGTAATGCTCGCCAGAGGAACCGAGTTGCCTAACCGCGGTACAGACACGATCTTTATTAACGGTTGAAGAATTTTAAATCGTAAATATAGCGTCTATAATATAATATACAACGCGCTCGCTTGTATATTATGAATAGTATATAACTGGATTTAAAATTCGTATGGAAATAACATTGTGGAAAATATATATTAAAAGTATAAACTGACCAATTTTAATAATTTATGTAATGGCAGAGCAAGGCAAAAATGAAGCTTTGTTCGGTTGTTAAAATATTGTGAGCGCGCCGTCGAGCTCCATTATAGCAAATTACAATTTTGCTTAGAGCAATGATCCTGATCGAGCAATTTTATGTGGGATTTGTCTATGTGACACGTATCGATACGCTTAAAAGTCTCGGATGTCACGTAAATATGAGTGTATTTCTTTGCAAAAATTCCTCCTACGAAGGAAAGAGGAATTTTCGTCGTTGTAACGTTGCCACAGATAGATTTTAGGAGGATTTCAGCGTAAGCCCTTCATCGAGATCGACAAAGGAGCTTACGCCCGACATTTTCCTCCTTTTAATGCTCAACAATGTTCCGGTCGGATGAAAAACACGAGCTGGGTGGGAAATAAAAATAACACACTAAGCTATATAACTACGCTATCACATCAATACGTCGGGATGTGGCTTCCGCGGAAAGTTCGATGTACTTTCTAACAGTCCACAGTTGCATAGTCGAACAGTCGAAGAGAAGTTTACGCTACGTTTGAGGCTAAATTGGATCACGAATTCTGGAAGTTCCCGCCGGAAAATCCTGCGGGGATTTCCTATGAACCGGCAACGCAAACTGAACTAACTCGTGAACAAAAAAGGGTTTAGATTCTGTGGAGAGTGTGCTTTCTGATTATTGAAAAATTAAATCTCCTCAAAAAATGGTTGGAAAAAGAGAGAGAGAGAGGGAAAGAGAGAGGGAGAAAGGATGAGGGGAGGGAGAGAGGAGGGGAGGAAGAGAGAGAGGGGAGAGAGAGAGAGAGAATGTATGCGAAAAGAGTTTAAATATTAAAAATAATATTTCACGGTACATCAAGTCTCAATTTATATTTATCTCGCGCTTTATAATTCATAACTTCATTCAATTTGCGATGTGCTAGTTTAAAAGCGTAGGAAAACAGCTCTCAATTTGCGCCTTTTGCCTCTTCTAGTATAAATTATTCCCCGCGTTATTCATACGCAAGAGCGGCTCACTATAATCAGGATCATTTTCGCGCGCCCTCGTCTTTTCCCGCGAATATCGCGGTCGCTTTAGAGCGGCGTGGCAAATCGGTTTGCAATAACGGAATCCATTCGAGCACCGCGATACAAAGACACACAAGACTTCTCCTCTTTAACGTGCGATTACTCCCATTTTCTGCGAACGGTGGACATTATTATGACGCATAACTACAACGCCGTCAAAGCAGAACAGCGCGCCGGGAATGCGGAAGCTCATAGTTAACCTACTATTCACCCCCGCTATATAGCTCTCGCTAAACCCACCCTGCAGAAGAATCTCCGAAATTGTTGGCGCGTCAAAAGCCGAAACTCTCCGGTGTTACGGCTGGCGCAGCTCTCGCTGTTCCGCGAATTTATACAATGCGCGCATGTGTGCACACATGTGCGTGCACATACACGCACATACGCACGCGTATTTAAACATTTTTTTTTTAAGAATTATTGAGATACGAAACTGTAGACGCGCATTGCAAATTTTTGCGCCCTCGCGCTGTGAATGCATTGTGCGCTTCGGAGTTATTCTTTTGCCGAAAAGTCCGCTCCTCCGGCCTTTTTCACGCGTTGATTTACGACACCATTTCGCATGCGAGAACTGTCTTTTGCGATAGCGCGAGCGGGAATATCTCTGTTATGAAAATCAGAGTGCACCTTACATGTTCGCACCGACACGGTATATCGCGTCCTCGTGTATGGAGCTTTCAATGCTACTCCGATAACTCGTGAGAGACAACTTAAATATAATAACAATAAATTATGAAAAAACTCTCTATGTCAATTCATTTTTCCAAGTTCTTGTGTGTTATTTTCCTCTACCTCTAAAAATCTCGTTGACCAAAATGAACTAACTGTGTCGCACTTCTCGCAACTAGAAATGTGTCCGTTCCGTGGCGCTCGTTTTATCGAACTTAAATGTCGCGGTTGACGACAATAAAGCCAAAGGTCGGCGGCAACAGTTGGAAGATATGAGTTTTTGCACTCACCGAATTGCCATGCTCTTCGCTTTCAAGTGATGCCATCTCTGGTTCATCTCATCCAATCGGCGTTGCAGCATAACAGCGTCATCTTGACTCGCCAGTGAGCTCAGTAGTTTACGTCCGGTGCCATTCAAGGATGCATAAACGTCTCGGTGAGTTTCAATTTCCGACTGGAGATCCTGCAACAAGCAGGAGGGTGTCTCTTTAGATCCTTAAGAACGAGATGGAAAGGTTTTGCGAGAAGGGCGTTCAATTATTTCAGGTTATATACTACTGATTAACACGCGATAATATTTTCACCAGACATCAATCAAACAAAACAGATATTTCGCGAATTAAAGAAACTTAAGACTTTTATTCGCGTACTTTGTAGAGAGAGAGAGAGAGAGAGAGAGAGAAAGAGAGAGAGAGAGAGAAAGAGAAAGCTGAAAGAAATAATATATTTCCTTCTTTTATTTATTATATTATATTTATTATATAGCAGGAGTTCAGAAGGATAGCTTTATTATAGAAGTTGATACACTTGAACCAAGTTTATCAGCAGCTGTGACATAATTTCCACTAAAAATTTCCCACCATAATATTATTATTCAGAACCGCGCGTGTGACGACTTGCGCGTGTGCGAGCGTATTTCGGGAAATATGAGTTTCAAAAAAAAAACAAAAACAAAAAAGAAATTCTCGATTTTCGATTTTAGAGCACCTGACCCTTTTTATGGAAATGGGGTGCATTCGCGCGGCAGTGAGAGAATGCATTCGCGGTGTTTCGTCATCGCGATGACGTGAATTGCAGTCCGCGCGCGGATAGAAATGATTTATACTGGGCTTCCATGTACAACGATGGTATACGAGTACGTCGGCGCCGACATGCAATGCATGCGCCAATGAAAATAAATCGGCGTCGATGTGAGTGAATTAAGAAATATTCGCTGGCGTCACGGTAGGAACAATGGAACTTGTTTTGTTCTCTTTTTGAAGCAGCTGCACGCATTTCACACAGTCACAAATACAACCTTATTCTCACTCGATTCTCCATCATCGACGCGCGATTCGTCGAAGAGGTTGTTCGATGCGCATTTCAAAGCGAGCCACGAGCGATATTATAAATATCACATATCGAAATATACGGTAGAACAATTACACACAATGTGTCTTAGTGATCGATTATTTCAATAAATTTTTCAAAGCACATAAACAGAACGGAAACGAGAGACAATAACAAAGATGAAAGTACCTATGCTTGGACATTCATAACACTGGATATTTTTGTTTTGATATTTAAACACGAATATTTGTACTTTTGATATAGAACATATATACATATATTGAATATATACATATAATATATTCTATGTTAAAAATGTAGATATTCATAAATATAATATAATATATGTAAATCGAAATTATAAGAATGTCTAGAGTTAGATGCTATACTAATACAATGGTATTAATGTCCAAGCATTTTTATTTAACTTTACACATATACGAGAAGCGCAGGTGATCTCACCTTTCCAACGGTTACTGTTTTAAGTCGCTACGACGTCTATAAGCGGAGAACACGGCAACTTTGTTCGGTCGCAATTATAATCGGCTTCGGCGTTTCCGAATTCGTCTCAATGGCACCTGTCGCGTGACGCTTCTCGGAAGTGGGAGCAGGTCCGCGTTCCAGCTGCGTAACGTGTTTACCATTGTGCAGCGTGAACGCGGCCTTCTCCCACTCCGCGCCATGTTTGCCGGCCACTGAAGGACGCGGCGGCTGTTCACTCGGCACCCAAGCTCACGGTGCGACAACTAGCGTCAACTAGCGGCGGCGACGGCTACTACTAAGAGCGCCGAATTTCAAAAGGCCGTAAACGCGAAATTCGCGAACGAATCGACTTAGGAATGCAAAATAAAAACTGATTTTTTCGACTTGCTATCACGGGCGCGTCTTTGTTGTTGCCGATTTAGAGGATTAACGTGGCTGAAAATGCTTATCGTGATAAATTTAAGTACTTTCTTATATTACGAAATCTTACGACACATCACCTACACTGCAATAAAATAAAATTGCTGTAGTATTAACAGCACTAACTTGATTGGAATAAATCTTCTTGCTTCAATAGCAACATTATTGATACTATTGTTTCAATAACTGGAGCATTAAATTCCACAATACTGTTATTGAATCAAAATCATTTATTGTAATGAAACTGATGCACTTACTGCAATAGTATCTTTTCATAGAACTTCTTTCTTTCACCCTTTTTATATCGTAAAAGTAATGAGACCAATGTTATTATTGTACACTGAAGCAAGGAATAATGCATAAAAGATAGTTTACAAAATAAAGAACTGAATATATATTGATTTGAAAAACTATAATTATTAAAACTTTTTGTTTATTGTTGTGAGTTTGATTAGTCAGTTACACTTTTGTCTATGATATTGTAAAGTATTTTGTATATTAATGATCTGTCTTAATATTGCATGCTCTCTCATTCAAGTCTCACGACTTAACTAAATATTATTATTACGTGTCTCGTATATGAAAAATGTGTGCTTGTATATGAAAAATCAAATAATATAAATGAAAGTGTACACGTTAACGGAAACACGTTGCATCGAGCTTAATTCGGCGTCGAGTAACACGCGAAGTAAAAAATGAGAAATAAAAATATTCTCTGAAGGAATGTAACGTGCGACAGCGACGACACAATGCAAAATTCCATGAAATATCTCTCGTTTCCGTTCTCTCGCGGCGTTGTCTTAATCCGAAACCGTCTGCCTGTCAACGACGCCCGTACACCCTTTTCAACCCTGTCTCCCCCTACGGCTTTCTCTTCCCGCCCAACCCTCTTCAATTTTTGACACGCACGAATTGAAGGCTGCAATCTCGAGAACCATTCCAGCCGGGACTCGATTCCCATCTGGGTCGACGATCGACGGGTCACAGCGCGATATTTTTCAGCTGCAGTTTCCGCGCGAATTGACGGCGGTGACACCCGGTGTGCATCGCAGAGACACGCGTAATGAAAAAAAAAGACGAAGAGAGGAAGGATAGGAAAAATTAAAAAAAAAGAAGGGGAAGGAAGAACAAGAGCGAACTGTGCCGAGAGTAAAAAACAAAAAAAAAATATAGGAAGTAAATATATTGACGTGGATGCCATTGCGCCGGGGAATCCGCTCCGGAAAATTGGGCACATCGATCAAAATGGGCTCCTCTACCGAGCGCCGGGATACGTCCGTCGAGAGCTCGAACCGGTAACGTTTAATTGGCGTTCTTGGTGGCAGCTTGTGCGGAAGCTAATTTCGTTTAAACTCGACGGTGCGCGCACAGCACCGCGTCGCACCTTCGATCCTCGAAATCCGCTGATTATGAATTACTGCGTCGAGCTCAGTAAACAACGACGGCAGCGGGCAATAAATATTTCCGCACGCGCGCGCCGGGAAATATTCTCCACGTATATCCTGTAGTCATGGGGGGAAGAGGATAGAACATTCGTTCGCTATGGAAGCGCAGTGGATGTAAGAATAGAAATGTATGTAGTGCCAATATGGTAGGTAGGGACAATGAACTAACCGATTCACCACGTACATTAATCTTAATACACGTCCATAATTATCTCGAGTGTCTAGAGCATCGCGTTTCATATGTTAAAGTCAACATTGCGCGCCAATTTGCCCGATGACTAATGGTACTTTAATTTCGACACACGTTGGAGTAATGCGTCAGGAACAAGCCAAAACAATCGCAAATAGCCGAGTTGAAATTTCAATCCTTCTCTCGACCTCCATTCAACGCCTGCTTTGATATTCTGAGATCTATATCAGTCTCTTTTGATTCTATTTAATCTGTAGCTTAGGCATAGGATCCTCCTTTACCATAGAAAAGAGATTTAATCGGAATAGCAGACTTCCTAAAATAATTATGGATTCTAGTTAGAAGGGCAAATGTTTTAAACATGCGATTCCAAATGGAAAAACCTAAAGTTCAATAACTTTTCTGATCTTCAATTTAGATTAGAATTGACATAAGCATGTTGACTTTCCAAATTTTAATTTTGTTATTCAGTGAAATGCTTAGTGTTTAAAAAATATTCTATTTTCTCGTATTTTATTCTATTGAAACGATAGTTGGCAAGAAAATGGGATTCACTATTTGACACTGTAAAGATATATGTCATTACCGGTCGGAAAAAGTGCGAGTTTCCATAGTATTTTTGTTTCGATCCTAAAGAGAGAATTCATACTTGGGGTAAGAAAGGGATTTCTAATTGGTATCGTAGGATAACTACTTTTGGAACACACGGACATTCTAAACAGAATTTATGTTGCATCTGAGAAAATCTTGAGAAACTTTTATACGGGTAGAACCTACGAGTGACGTTTTATGCGTTTTCTACGTTTACTGACGCTAAGTAGAACTTCTGTTTTTATGTGTATGAAACACACAGATCCTATAGAGTATACAGATGTTAGAGAGTTCAAATCGAATGGAGGATTAACATTTCGATTCGGATAGCTTCGTCAATTTTCACGATGCAATTTGACCATAATTCGCTCGACCGAGGAGTTATTCTTGGAAACAGGTAAGACAGCTCTCGTTGCGCGCGTCAATTGACGCGAACTCGGGAATTACATCGGTGTCGTTGCGGTGTCTCGATAACGCGTCCACGACGTCGATTAGATTTTTCGCGTTAATGGAGCTCTTTTAAGACGCCGTCGTGGCGGGCTAAGGATTAAAACGTTCAGGATGCTCCGCGGGGAGATGGCTCGGAAAAAAAGAGTGTAAAGCACAAAACGTTTTTTGCATTACCCGTCTCTGCAGCTCCCGTGTTCTTATCGCGGTTCATCGTGCAATTACGCAAATGCTCCTCACTGGCGACGTCGATGCGCGCGCGCGCGCGTGGTAGTCGGTGCACACAACGCTCATGTATACAGAGAATATTACGGGAGACTCGTACTTTCTTTTAAGGATTTCCTGCAAAACTCGCGGTTGATCTTCTCTCATTAAAAGCGCCTCTGTGGAGGTTGTCACTGGTGATAACGTTTACGAACTGCTGTGTCAAAGTGCTAGTGAAATCTCTCTTGTTCTCTCGCGCTCTCATTCACATCCGCTCGTCAAATACACAATGAGATACAACGACATGGAAGTGGATTATTATCGAAATTATTTATCTCTGCACGCATATATCCA